TTTGTTAATTATTTTCTTATTTAGTGTGTAAATAGTGGTATAATTCAAAATTTGTCAAACAGTTGTAAAAGATGAATAATATTTAAGTGGAGTATTTGTAGAAGGGATCATGTGTTCAAACGACTTTTGTTTTTAAAATGGTATAATACTATAATCGAACGATGAGCTTCAGTTGATGGATCCTTAAATGTTTATTTAAATGACACTCTTGTAAGCCACTACACGTTTTATTAATCCAACCATCAATATTTTAGGTCTTCTTTTGATGATCATTTTCGACAAAAATCACCCAAATAAAACGTAACATGATGGTACATTAAATGGTGGTCATCTTAGTGTTTCTGTAAAGCATCACAAATATTTTCCTCATCAATAATTGGATGTCTTAATGAAAAAGAATTTGCCTTTTTTTAAATTTTTTAAGTATGATTTTGTTTTTCCTTTTAATGATGATCTATGCGTGGTGACAAAATATAGACGGTTTGAATTAAAAAAAAAAGTTACGTAGTGAGCTCCACAAGATGTCTCAAATTAGTTTATCTGAAGGTCCCAAATTAGGAGGAGATTGAGTTAATATTAACTTGTCACTTAGGAATGATATATGGAAGTCGTTGGTAATGGTACGAGTAGTACGTACTTTTGCATCAAAGGGACAGGGTCTATGCCTCGTGTTGTGCATGCGACCTCAACCAAAAATAGTTGACGAATAAATCAAGGTGTCTGTGGTATTGGATTTGGAGTAATCCTGATCAGAATTGGATTCCCTTACTTGTACCATTTTCTCAGCGTATACACTTCAACCTAATCTCCAGGAAAACGAACACTGCTGCATGCATGGCTTCCATGTAGCTAATCAAGATTTGCTTTGACACCTATTAGGCCGTCAATTTCTTACACCAACACGTTAATCTGACACGAAATGACACGAATGGTTTAATCTGTTAACGAATCAAATCATCAATTAAAAATTTGTTAAACCATCGGACAGTTATTGGATCCCCAATAAGATATCGTTTACTAAATCTAAACATTAAAGATGACAATTTCTTGCATGACCCCACTAAGAACTCGATAGGATATCGTTTACTAGATCTAAACATTAAACATGACAAATAAGATATCGTTTACTAGATCTAAACATTAAACATGACAATTTCTTGCATGACCCCGCTAAGAACCCGATAAGATATCGTTTACTAGATATAAACATTAAGCATGACAATTTTTTGCATGACCCGTTAACGATCTTAGCTGATAAGATATCGTTTACTAGATCTAAATATTAAGCATGACAATTTTTTGCATGATCCGTTAACGAATTAGATCGTTATTTAGTTGTCAGTTAAAAATTCGTTAAGATAAGAAGTTTGATACTACACGACACGAACTGTTAAGATAACAAGCATGATACAAATACGACCCGATTGTTGGGCCTACGAACAATGCACAAAAAGTTCTCACGGAAAAGTAATTATCTTAAACACGAATGATTTTCGAACCCTATTTTATCTTGGCTGATTAGGTTTGACACGCAATTGTGAATTGTAGGCAGAAAATTAAAGAAAACGGGAAGAAACCAAATGTTAAAAAAAAAAAAAAAAAAAGACGAAATAAAAACTGCATTGATTGATAATTCCTCTCCAAAACAGTTAAACATCAACAACATCAACTCAGCTGATTCACTTGGCCTCCCACTTCAGAAAAGAAAAAACATCACCAAGAAAGACATTAACAACAACGAATACTTTGAAACAAATAAACAGAAAATAATGACAACAATTAACAATGTACGCTCAATCCACGTATGCATACGGCGTACGTACGTACGTTTGCTGAAGCATGCAATATATTCAGTTGGCTTGAGAATGGGATGGATATAGATACGATCATCATCCATCCATCATTTATTAATTTTGGATCTCCTCCGTCCGTCCTTTGACATCACACGATGATGATCATCTAGCTTCCAAATCATGGCAGTCAAACTGTAACAAAAGTCCTTTACATCAAGAGGTCGTTAACCCAGCCAAGATCCGGATCCGAGTCACCGGCTGATGCAAACCCTCCTCCGTTAACAATCTCCTTTTTATTAATGTGCGTATTGGTATCACGATCAAATCCCAATAAGCTTCCATTTGTCGGTGAGCAATTTTCATCCCCACCGAAAAAATTGATTCCACGTCCTCCACCTCCAAATGGTCGCCTTGTTGGGCTCGGAGTGGATGGCGAAAGAATAAACTGTTGTTGCGGCTGCAGATCGTCATCAGCAGAAGCATAATTCATGTTCATATCGAATGAAACGTCGACCCACCTCTTCGGAGAAGCAGCAGCGGCAGCAGCTGCAGCTTCATTGAATTTCATGGCTTCCATGGAGCTCATGAGCTCAGCAACCACTTCTTTGGAGGTCATCAACCCACCTGTGCTTGCATGCACCTGATCCAAACCCCCCAACCCTAGCCCACCACAGCGAGACATAACTGGTGAACTATGAAAATTGCTCACCGACGAGCAGTTACCTGCTGGCGACACAGGCGGCGACAAATGATGAGACATACCGGCCAACAGAGTCGAAGTTGGAGATGACGTCGCCGCTGCTGGATGACAGAACAAGCAGCAGTACTGTTTGTTGTTCGAACAGGACCGCGGAGACCCCACCGATAAATGGTTGTTCAGGTGGAACAACTTCTTAGAACTAGCCGTGGGAGAGAGCACCTGATCCGCCGGCAAAATCCTAAGCTGACGTGTCGTGTGCGCAAAGAAGCACACCTTCCTCTTGCAGTTCTTCCCGTCTTTGCAAGCCTCAGTTCTGTACCTCGCCGGATGCAGCCAGCACTCAAATACTCCGTGCGCAAACTCACAGCTGTCACCGCGGCTGCATGATCCGCGGCGATAGTCCGCGCACACAGTGCCCGAGTAGTGGTGGCGACGCGGGTCCCGCCTGCGAGCCTTCTCTCCGGGATGGGCAAAAGGGCAGTCGGTCCAGTCGTGGCTACGGCTGCGGGTGCAGCGCCGGACCTTAAACTCAAACATGCGGAAGTGGTCGGAAGAGTAGGGATCGACCTCGTCGTCGTCAGAGTCATCGGAGCCGGTGTTGTAGGGGAGGAATTTGCGGAGGAGGGCCTCGTCGGCAGATGAGAAGCTCGGGGATCCGTAGTCAGCTGCGGCGTACACGTCAGAAGAGGGAAATTCTTGGGGGCTGCGGCGGGTGAGGAGCTTCCTCGGTGGGATGTCAATGTTGGTGTCTCTGAGGAGGGTTTTCTTGGATGATAGGAGCTGGTGGGAGGGGTGGAACTTGTGCTGCTCGGCGCAAACACTACTCATTTCTAATTGATCTGATGAATGCAAATAACAATAATAATATCAAAATATACCAGATAATTGCCTAGCCAGAGAGAGATGGTGGTGTTGATGAGAGGGGAACAAGGGGGTGGATTATATAGGTGGTTGAGGGAGACAAGTTTAGTGAGAGAGAGAGAGAGTGGGGGATGATCGATGACGAGACGGAGAAAGGGGTATGGGCAGAAAGATGCGTGGGTGCATAGCATTAGGGACGAACATGCAAAAGGGTTATGTGGCAGCTTCACAGTTCACTTGGCACGCAATAGCATTGTGCTATGTGTTTGCTTATTGGAGCATCTCCGTTTTCTCACAGCAAGTTTTTGGATTTGGGTTCGGAAGCCAACACCTATATTCCTATTTCATTACATGCACACAAAAACATGTTAAAATTGTATATTTAAATGGCAGTCATGCTACTTAGTATTACAGTTTAATAATTTTTTTTAATTTATAAGTGATAGGTTTTAGGTTTCATTCTTATCAAAAACGAATTTAAATCATATTATTGTTACCTATTATGAGGCTTAATCTACTCCCCACTTGATCATATCAGAAAAAAAAGGGGCTCATGAATTTAAAAACACAAACAAGGGATGAGCATATGATCTACTTCCTCAACGTATAGTTGATTCAAGAGTAATGTTATTCATACCATGTTTTTATACCACATTTCTATACCACCTTAGGTGGCATCTGATGTAGACATCCACATCATTTGAAAAATTTGCAAAACCTAAAGAAAGGAAGGAGTAAGACTCCTCGTATACCACCATCATCATTTAATTAACTAGTTTTTATTAATTATTAGTTTATTAAATAATGAACTAAATTTAAAAATCTGATTAATTCAAATGATGTGGTTGTTCATATCAAATGCCATCGTGGTATGAAATTATGGTACAAAAACATAGTATGAATATCATTACTCATTTTTTACAAAATTTTAATGAGGAATCTATTTAGGGATAATATTGTAAATGACCCAGTGAAGTGTCATCTCTCTTATGTATATGAATTGTATATATATTTAAGATGTAATCTTATTTTCTTTAATGAATGAAATCATATTTTCCTAATATGGTATTACCCGCTTGTGTCTACCAACCCAATCTAAACACGCTTCCTTCCTTCTCTCGTTTTGAACCTTCATCCTTCTTGATTGGATCTTCGATCATTTGCCTCTCTTTGCAAACCCTAAATCTTGACAATAAAAACCTCTGCTTCTCCTTCGTCTGACTATGCATCTCAAATTCATTCTTCTCCACTCACGAATCCAAACCCTAATACCTCAACTACTACGATTTCATCACAAAGCAGAAGAAGAACAAAATTACGATAAGTCCGAATATTTTCCCAATATTTCCTATGTATTAGACTAACACACGAAGTAAAAAATTAGGATAAATCCGAGATTCAGTCCTAAAACTGCTTTAGTTACAAGCGGAAAAAATTACTAAAAATACTATTAGACTAATAAATAGTTGGAATATCGTACTAATAAAGAAAAATAAATGACAATTTGCTCTACTAATCAAACCAATCTTGTGGATGAAATGCCCATCACCAGGCCCAATTAGGACAATGAATGCAGCCCAAGCCCAAGTTAGTTCATTTAAACAAGAAACCCGCAAAAAATAAATTTAAATAAATAGTAGCAAAAGCAAAACAACGATAGACATTGCACTGCCATTTGCGACGATGTTCAAGTCGAGGCTGCAGGAGCTCTGCCAGCAGAGGAAATGGCGGTTGCCGGAGTACAACACCACCAAGGTTGGCCTCGACCACATCCCTTGCTTCTCCGCCACCGTTACAATCAATGGCTTCGACTTCCACACAGTGGATACCTTTAGATCCTCCAAAGAAGCCCAAAACGACGCCGCTAAACACGCCTTCGACCACTTCTCTGATCATCCGCAACCCAAACCCAGGAATCCCATTCCCGTCCCTTCCTCTTTCCCTCAACCTTGTCTTCCCTCTTCCTCCTCCGCTTCCTTTTGCTCAGGTAATCGCTAGATCTGAAAACGATGCCGTTGATATTACTGCAAATGGAAGGAAGTTTTTTTATTTACCGGTTTTTCAGTTTTCCTTAATTTTCTAGGGTTTTTTATTTTTTATTTTTTATTTCTAAACCCGCTGAAATTCGGAATTTTTGTGAGTGTTGATTAACTATGTTAGTTACCATTTGTGTTTAATTATCTAGGAGATAAGTTATGCCTCATTCGAAATTCGAAACTTGTGTTACCATTTGTGTTTCGTTATCTCAGAGATAATTTATGTCTTATTCAAAAATTCGGAACTTGTGTTACCATTTGTGTTTAATTATCTTGGAGATAATTTATGTCTCATTCGAAATTCGGAACTTGTGTGAATGCTGATTAACTATGTTAATTACCATTTCTGCCTGATTATCTAGGAGATAATTTATGTCGTTCGAAATTGAGTTCAATGTATTACTTTGTTTTCACATATGGGTTCTGTTATTCCAGCACTTCCTTCGACCGCAGCCGCTGATTCCAATACTACACATGAAGCACCACAAATAGTGCAACTGAAGATTCAAGAAACGCACCAGATTCCTCAGCTGCCACTTCAGTTTAGTGGTAACAAATCAGGAGCCACTCCTCTGGCGAATGCCACCTTGTTGAGTAAGATGTGTATATTATCTGGTGATTGGCAATGAGCCTTAATGTTTTATGATCGTTTCACCGAACCTTGACATTTTGAAGATTATTTCACATTTAAAACATTGGTCGTACCCAGTGCACAAGGCTCCCGCTTTACGCAGGGTCTGGGAGAGGTGAATGTCGGCTAGCCTTACCCCCATTTATGGAGAGGCTGCTCCCAAATAAAAATATATCTTGCAGCAGCTTTGCTTTGAACTTAATTTTTGCTGGCAACCGAGCCTATAAATAACATTTTTCATCTCAATGTTGGAGCTAGCTTTCTAAAAACTGTTGAAATCTAAACTCTAACTTAAAATAGATATGCAAAACAGAAATAAGACAAGTATATAATACCTTCAATTCTTTTGCATCTGTGAATTGTCTGAACCTTGTCTTGATTACTTTAAGTCAATTTACAACTTATACTCTTCTAATATGGGGTGTAGATATACAACATTTTCACAAGAATCAACTGCAAACTTATGCACAAAAGAGAAATCTGCTTCCACCTGTGTACTCTTGTGAGCGGGAAGGTCCAGCTCATAACAGTCGTTTCAAGTGTAGAGTAACTATTGGTGGACAGACATATGAGGGTCAAGAGTTTCTTCCCACACTGAAGGATGCTGAACATGCAGCTGCAAAAGCTGCTTTAACGTCCATTCTTCCAAATGGAGTTCAAGAGGTGGAAAATTTTGTATTATATGCTCTACGTGTTTTTTATTAAATGTGATTGTTTCGAGCATCTCTAAATACCTCTTTTGTCTTTGTTTGTTTTTCTCTTTTTCTTTCCATAGGATGATTCTGGTTTATTCAAAAACCTTTTACAAGAATTGATTCAAAAGGAAGGGTTTTCTATACCAGTCTATAGCTCAAGGATGTCTGGTGACCTCATGTGCCAGTTTTTGTTTCGTCAGTGGAGATAGAAGGAGAAACTTTTATGGGTCAAGAAGCAAGAAGCAAAAAGCAGGCAGAGTTGAGTGCAGCAAAGGTCGCTTACCATACCTTGAGAGAGCGTAAGTGTATTACTAGTTGCAAATTAGTGTCAACCGTTGTTTATATTCTTTTTAATTTATTACAATGTTTCTCTATGGAAGTTTAAGTGCTTAAGATAGTTATGTTTCTTTTATTCTTTTATTTATTAAAGATGTGTTTGTATTTTCAATGCATTTGTTACATCAAATTTCATAAGAGGTTGCACTTGGTGCGATGGCAAGTGCCTTCGCCCATGAGCGGTAGGTCTCGGGTTCGAGACTTGGTAGCAGCCTCTCCATAAATGGGGGTAAGGCTAGCCGACATTCACCTCTCCCAGACCCTGCGTAAAGCGGGAGCCTTGTGCACTGGGTACGACCTTTTTTATAGTTCTTATGGATTTTTTTTTTTCAATTTCATAGCTCTAAGTAACTATCCTATGAAATAGTCTGTTTTACAAGATGTGCTTTGCAAGACCTTTTCCATTAAAAATAATATCAGATGATATGGGAAAGCAAAAGATGAATAGATCTATTGAATGCTTCACAACATTTTGAACCGTCGTCTTCAGGTAAATCAAGTCAGCTACCTTTGGTCCCATCCTGCGCTCGGGAAGGGCAAGAAGCTTCCGAGATCTTATCTTCAAGTTTCCAGTCAAACCCAGCTGCTGAACTACATCCACAAGCCAGGCCTAACACACATGAGAACAGTGGTATTGTTTTCCCCAAAAACTCAGTCTTTTATATACCCTACTGCTATATTGTTGTTGCTTTCATATGTTTCAGAATGTCTTTGTCAGGACAAAATACGTACATCAAATTAGAGTATGCTGGTTAGCTATGAAAGTCTGATTAAACAGCTCTCTGTTTTTTTAACTAAGCTGCCAACTCTCTGAAAGGAGCTTTGGTTTTAAGGAGAGTAACAACAACCATTCTCTTTATGCCACAAATTGAATTTGGGTTGGACAGCTCAAATTCTATTTAATTGTGAAAATATTAATAGTTACCTTATGCTTAAAAAATAAATAAAATCACAACCAAGAACCAGATCCTTGAACCCATTCAGAACCCAGTAGGTTTTGTTGATGGATGATATGGCATGCGGAAAAAGGGATTGAAGCTCAAGTTGGTGTGATGACAGTCCTCTGTTGGTGAAGGCAGAGAACTTTCAGGCGTCTTTTACTATTCACATAAGGTTATAAGGCATGTTATATTTCTAGCCGCACGATTCCACTAAAACGGATCGGACGGCTGACAGTGAAGGTAGAGAATTCATGGTCTTGCATATATGTGAATACTTCACAATTGCTGCACCCTGAGAGAGCATATATTAGAAAGCTAATAAAAGTAAAATCGTTCAGAGAAGCAAATTCCATTTGGAGTTCATAACGTGTGTGATTTATGGCAAGGGTTTTTCCTGCATACATTAGTTAACATGTACCTGAAAGCTACTACGGAAACACTACAAATGCACTACAAAGACATTGAACGAAGGACTTTCAAAATGGAAGTGTCATTCAAGAGTTCACTCAAATGTAATGTATCTAGTCATTTTGAAGTTCCTCTATCAAATCTTTGTAGTGCATTCTTAATGAATTTAGCCTAAGTTCCTTGGACCTTAAGTCCCTCATCCAAACATAGGTAAAGAAACGTAACCTACCTAGAAACTAGAATTGAAAGATACTACTAGAGTAGAACCTTCTTCACCACATGAAAAGTGACATCTCAATCTGTAATTTAGATGTCGGGTGAAGTACATACCCTCTGTTGACTTTGTCGTTGACTACTTCTCACTAATGATTCAGTTTAGTAATACAAACAATCGTGCTTACAATTCTGATTGACACAAGGACAGTAAAAAAAAAAGTAAAGAAAACGAACCCAAACCCCAAGTATCAGAGAAATTCATGGCATCACAGGCTTAACTCAGAATTTAAATAGGGTATGAACCATGAAGACGGATGAGAGATGTTGATATTCAAACATCCTCCTCTCTGTTTCTTAAATTATTGTATAACTATATCTTCTTATACTACATAAATATCACAATCTTACATGTAATTGATGTTTTCATATCTTCTTTGATTACAGTAATTGCAGAAGGAAAACGTCAACGCTTGATCACTGTATCTTCAGGACCCTGCACTCCTACATCAGTAGGTGGGGAAGGATCTTCCTCTGATGTTGTACATGGCCGTGCGCAGGAGACGAACCACGGACCTAGCCCTGTGTCCCAAAATGGCTCCGCTAATTGCGTTATGGACTCTTCTCTTGGGCCACCAGCTAAAAGGAGTGCGTACAACAAGGTCTCTGTTTATTCACGCAAGTTAAATATTGAATATCCTGAAGGTACCACTATGTTGCCCATGAGCAATGAAAAGTGGTTGTTTGCTCACACACATGAAGGGAGAGGTTCATTTAGGCTTGACTAAGACCTGATTCAACTAGGTGAGACCCATATGCTATGCTTTCAAAGTTAAGTGCTTATAATGTGAAGTTATGTGCTTATAATATGTTACGTTTCTCCGTGTATGAACCCTACTTGATACTCTTTTTCTATATACAATAGCTGTTGCCTTTCTTGACTCGTGCATAAATGTGCTTTTTTCTGTCTACGATGCATTTCTTTAGTATTAAAATCGAGTTATGTTTGTGCTTTGGGTAAATGTGCTTGCTGTTGAAGTTGCATTTCCTTTAAACTTTTTGTGTGAATGCACCATAATAAAATCGTTTTTGCTTGTCTGATGAAAGCTGGAGATGAGATATTGGAGGAAATTAAATTCATTTTGCTAAAAGAGGCAAATGAAGTTAATTTCCTCCATTTTCTTCATTGATTTTGTTGAAATTTGGATATAAACTATACTGCAGCAAAAACTGGAGGTAAGATATTGGAGGAAATTAAACCCGTTCGCTAAGCAGAGTGAAGTGACGGGGATTAATTTCCTCCAACTCTCACATACAGCCTCTCCTAATGTGCTTGATTCAGAGCACACACAGTGACTTGCTCATTTTATAGCAGGAAAACTTCCTCCTAATCTTCAAGATGGATAAAGTTTAGTAAGTGTGAAGGGGCAAAAGTACAACAGTTGTAGTTGACTGCGTACCCAGCACAAAAGCATGTTCTTCTATAATCTCCATTTCTTTCTTTCTGTGTTTTTTGTTTCTTTTCTAAAAAAATGAAAGCATAAGATTTTATGTTCCGAGTATACAGAAAATTGGAGCGTAGGGTCAGCATAAAACCCAGTAAGAAAATTCAGGCAATTGCCCAACTTATACCACACACTAGCACAGAAACTGGACTCGTGCGATGCCTGGGCAGATCCAAAAAACTTGCAGAAACACGGCTACATAAGCCGAAAGGTGATGCGCCATCGATTGCGCGATAAAAAAATTATAATTAACAAGATAATTAAACTGGGATTAATTGTATATGATCATATGATGCTTTAGTATTTAGGACATGATGTAGATATAAAAACACAAATAAAACTCTGGTTTTAGTAATCTAAGTAAGAAACGGCACGTCGTTCAGTTTGTTTGTTGATTGCTAGTTAACAAATGACTATATATCATGCTTCATGAATGATTTGAATATAGGGAAATTTAACGAAAAGTTCTCGGTACTGTTCATTTTAACGAAAAATCATATTTTTACACTAAAAAATAAATCCTAATACTATTCACTTTATTTAGAGAATTATTCCTCCTAACACACCCGTAAACAAGGGTGGGTAGTTATCATTTCCTAAAAACTAGTGGGTAGTTATCATTTCCTAAAAACTATCTTCCTTTGCCAACCCTTGTATTGGAGAAAAACTTTTTCAAGACTTAACTTGAGATTAGATTATATCACTATCAACCACTTAAAATTTACCACATATTACTTAAGTTTTAAGCTTTTATTGCAGTGCTTTCTTCTGTAAAAGTGTGGTTGTCCAAAACCTGCCACATGAAAGACTTGGGAGATGCATCATACATACTTGGAATAAGGCTCTATCGTGATAGATCTAGGAGACTAATAGAATTGTCCCAATCCATGTATGAGATAAGGTGTTAAGTATAATTCTCCATTTCTTACCCAGCACAAAAGCATGTTCTATAATTCTCCATTTCTTTTCTTTATTTTTTTTTTAACTTTCTAAAAGAATGAAAGCATAAGATTTTTTTAGGGAGTTTTAACGAAAAGCCCACGGTACTATTCACTTTAACGAAAAACCACATTTTTACACTAAAAAGTCAAACCTGGTACCATTCATTTTACCCTTTATTTTGTCCTTATCATTAAAATTCAAAGTTTTTAAGCCATTTTCATTAGTTTTCCTATTTTTTTATCCTTTAAAAAATGGAGTTTTAATGAAACATTTCCAGTACTGTTCACTTTTAATGAAAAATCACATTTTTACTCTTCCCTTGTACTATTCACTACACATTTATTTGTTATTTTTCATTAAAACTAAAGTTTTTTTAGATTTTTCGTTAGTTTTTCTTTTAAAAAATGCATGAGTTACAATAAAAAAAAAAGCATTATCCCACTAGCCGGCCGTATAAATTCTAAAACGTTACTGTGTTAAGTTTTGCGTCACGTCTTCTGTTTGCGTCAAAAAAGCTTCCCACATGGATGGTGTCATCTACAGCCTTCCGACATGCTTTTTATAATGCTCATGAAGGATTTTTCTAATCCCTTTCACTTTACATTTTATGGTCCATTTCTATGTAGCTTGACGTGAATCCGTTGGCTTCAGTGTCAAAAGTTTATAGCCACCAATAGGGCACTAATATGCATAGTCGATGTCCTTTATTAGTGGTTCTAATGTTCCATTGCACAATTACAACTCGGTGGCACAAAGGAAAGTAGACATCTAGTGCATTTTGGAATTGTTACTCAAAATTTTGAGATAGAACTTCTAGTCTTGTTTAATTAGGATATATAATTTGGACTTAATACTAAGGCTTTATTTATTGTTAGAAATTGGGGGCAAATCATTGTTTTCACGCTAATAGCAAAATGACTGCTTCTGCAGCACCAACATTGCGTTAAATTTTTGTTTTCCAACTACCAAGTTTTAGGGGTCTTCAATGAATATGCATTCACTTCATTAATCTTTTATGTGTACTTGAAATATAAGATGATACACTACATATTATAATATAAGTGAACGATATGATTGATATGTCTCAATTTTAGAGTATATTTTTATTGTACTTTCACTTATATTATGACGTATGTTGTACTACATTGTGTTCCGAATACAAGAAGAAATATTTCCAAATGTAGGTGGCTGCTAATAATTGGTCAGCCCTTAGTACAACAGCTTTTATTTCCATTTATTATTATTTTATCTTTTGTATCCAATACATGCATGCTCCAAAAGAACTTGAACCCTTTTCGCCGAAATCCTTTGCATCTGTTCATGAAGTCTCAGTTGAGGCTGCAAAAAAAATAGTAACAGTTCAGTTCATTCTTAAAATGTGTATGTGTGTGAGAGAGAGAGAGAGAGAGTTACTTGGTGCAATCCATGCTATTAGAAATTTAGAAATAGGGAAACTAAGATGAGCATTGCATTTGATGGGAAGATAACTTAAATGTGTATGAGAGAGAGAGAGAGAGAGAGAGAGAGAGAGAGAGAGAGAGAGAGAGAAAGAGAGAGAGAGGGAGAGGGAGTTGCTTACTGCAATCCATGCTATTAGAAATAGGGAAACTTAGATGAGCATTGCATTTGATGGGAAGATAACTTAAAATGTGTATGAGAGAGAGAGAGAGAGAGAGAGAGAGAGAGAGAGAGAGAGAGAGAGAGTTACTTGGTGCAATCCATGCTATTAGAAATAGGGAAACTAAGATGAGCATTGCATTTGATGGGAAGATCTTGGATGAGGGACGCTACGAAACGAATTCGATACGCATCAGCCACGCCCTCAATGCATTCACAAATACTTTGAGGTTCAGCCTCATCACTTTTGGCCATCGTGTTCAACGTCCGGACGGAGTTACAGCATTCGAGCGTAGGGTCAGCATAAAACCCAGTAAGAAAATTCAGGCAATTGCCCAACTCATACCACACACTAACACAGAAACTGGACGCGTGCGATGCCTTGGCAGATCCACAAACTAGCAGAAACATGGCTACATAAGCCAAAAGGCGAGGCGCCATCGACCGCGCGATAATAATTTGTAATTAACAAGCTAAGTATACTGGGATTAATTGTATATGATCATATGATGCTTTAGTATTAGGACATGATTTAGATATAAAAACACAAATAAAGCTTCATTGGCTTTAGTAATCTAAGTAAGAAACGGCACGTTGTTCAGTTAGTTTGTTGATTGCTAGTTAACAAATGACTATATCATGCTTCATGAATGATTTGAATATAATCTAATATAATTAATTTAGAGAATTTATTCCTCCTAACACACCCGTAAACAAGGGTGGGTAGTTATCATTTCCTAAAAACTAACTTCTTTTGCCAACCCTTATATTGGAGAAAAACTTTTTTAAGACTTAACTTGAGATTAGATTATATCACTATCAACCACTTAATTTTTACCACATATTACTTAAGCTTTAAGCTTTTATTGCAGTGCTTTCTTCTGTAAAAGTGTGGTTGTCCAAAACCTTCCATATGAAAGACTTGGGAGATGCATCATACATACTTGGAATAAAGCTCTATCATGACAGATCTAGGACTCTAATAGAATTGTCCCAATCCATGCATGTAGACAAGGTGTTAAGTATTTCCACATGGAGGAATCTAAGAAGGTTTATCTTCCTGTGAGATATGGAATTCACCTTTCTAAACCGATGGGACCTAAACTCCTGAGGACATGCAACAAATGTGTAGAATTCTTATGCTTTTGCAATAGGAAGTCTCATGTGTACCATGATATGGACAAGGTCAGATATTGCATATGTTGTGAGCATTCCTAATCGATATCAATCCAACCTAGGATCAAAACACTGAGCAGCTGACAGATGCATATTTCTAGTCGGAGGAAGTGCAACAAATGAGTAGAATTCTTAATGGTTATGCAATAGGAAGGCTATATATATGCAGATTTCTAGTCTGATATTGATAATAGGTGGGGCCATTAGTTGGAAGAGCAAGAAACAAGATGTCATTTCTATTAGCTACGTTCTTTCATTGGCTAAAACCTAAGATGCTCTCATAGAAACAAAAGATGAATGTTGCTGCCACATCATCAATGTGGAATATTGAGGTTGTCCTTGCCCAACTTACTTATGACATTCAAAAAACAAAGACTAATATATTGCCACAACAAAAACAGTTTATGACATTCAAAAAACAAAGACTAATATATTGCCACAACAAAAACAGTTTAAGGTAGGTAAAAGTTTAAGCATCTATTGATAAAATACATAAAGCTTTTTCCTTTTATTAACTTCAAGAAAGAGTGTTGATTTTTTTATTATTTCCCTTATGTCTTACTAGCTTTATACACCACCTGAATTTAATGTTCTCTTGCCCACATAGATACATAGAGAAGAATTCTCACAAAGACTATTAGGACATATATTATCTGATAAACTGATGTTTATCCTAATGGAAACTGTGGATATAGAAGGAACCTAATGATTGCAGTGGGATCTATGAGGGAACGACTTGTTTGACATTGTCACGCAAGGCAACTTGAGATTTATCAAGCGCAACGCTATAAAGGTGATGGAGATTCCATCAAAAGAAAGTGTTTTAGTGTTATCAGCGTCCAATGGCCATCCTCTTGTAAACTCAAACGTTAAATTAATTCTCACCAATTCTTATGGATTTTGATTTTGATTTCTATTTCTATTTAAATGGGTATAAAAATAATTATACATATTGAAGTTGGTTTGTGAGGTTAGTTTAGGTAGTAAATTTGAATTTAGATATTGACAGTTTAATTAATAATAATGAGTGTAAAATGAGGTTATATGAGCTAAATTTTCTCTTAATTTTTTTATGTTAAAAATTTGAGTTGAAAATTGTTATTTTACTTTATTATTTTGGTATTTACCCATACGCAAACGACGTCGTTCCTCCCCTAAAAGGCAAGCGAAATAGAGCCGTTAGAAACAGCACACTCCAGAGCAGTCACGTTGGCTCTTGGCCCCCAAATTCAAAAAATCAGACCGTTAGAGGGATCCTTCCCCCCTAACGTTATACTCCTCTCCGCACCCACTCAGACACACTCCAACGCTCCCTCCTCTCTCCCTCCCTCCCTCCCTCCCTCTCATTTATTCATCATTTCTTCATTAATCGGCCAAATCTTTTGTAATTCCTCATCCTCCTCTGAATCCCCACATCCCAAACAAGTTTTCGAAATCGAGGAGAAGACCAAATGACCGATCAAGAACCCAACGCGCCGGCGGCGACGGCGATCATCGTCGATGAGACGTACGAGTTCTCGGCTCCACGCTTCTTCGACTTCACAAAGGACGAGAGCGACGACGATAGGCTCAAGGCCGAGCTCTGGTTCGACTGCGCTCTAGCCTATGCTCCTTCACGTACGTCGTCTTCCCTAATCCTTCTTATCTCTTCTCTCTCCCTCTTATTATCTGACATTTTTAATTTCAGTATTGGCCTTTCGCATTTTTGTGCTTTTCATATCTTTAGACCTGTATGTTTTTTGCGTCTTCTTTGTTAGGGTTTCTCTCAAATATTTGCTTTCGATTTTAGGGGTTTTTTATTTTCTTCTCTTAATTGCGTTGATTTCTGCAACTCTATTGGATTTTTAGGGTTTTAATTTTCTTTTCGTGGTGAATTTTGCTCCAATTACAAGCGTTTCTTGAAATTGAAATCGACTAGGAAGCGATTGCTGTCTGGAATCTGGATGCTTGCTTTATTTTGTGGTGTTTGATTATTGGAAAATATCATTAGGTTGTGTTTGTTTCCCAGAAGATTAAGGAGTAGGAATAACAATTCGGTTTCTTTTTGTTGGAAGCAGGAACTCCAAATTGTTGAAAGCAAGATGTTCTTTTATACTTTTTAATCTTAGGCATTTAAAGCAGTTATTTGTTAAAGGGAATTAGATTTGAACCTTCCGGATTTTCGTTCTTTCTTTCCCAAATTTTCTGCAGAATTTGAATTAGGTTTGGTTTGACGTAGCAAGGGACATTCAATCTGTAGTTGTCCATTTATCACTGAAAGTGACTTTCATTTGTTCTTTTGCTTCTCTAGAATTGTAATGGGACTTGTATTTTTCTGTGCAGCCTTTATGCCTAAGATCAAGACTGGTAGATCCCTTACAATCGAGAGCATGTGTGACTTTAGTGAAGCAGAGAAAATGGAGAAGGTGGTGATCTCATTCATTCTTTCTTGCCTTTAAAACTTAGACTTGTTTATGGCTCTCTAACTCCATGGTTGTTTATGTTTTGCAGAACTTGGAATCATCATCTGACTTAAAAGCTGATGATAAGTTGTCTATGGAAACTAAGCCTCAATCAGAGATCATGCCTGCTGAAGCCTTAAAAGATGATGACAAATGTACCAGCGGAAATGGAAGGTTAGGGGGCGTTCCTCTTACTTAAAAGCTTTGTCCCAGATCTCTTGACTCGTACTAGTCGATTAGAATATAACGTTGAGCTCCAAGACCTGATTTATTACTTTCTGTTTTGCAGTGTTTTGGATACAAAATCTTCTATTAAGAAAACTGATTTAACCAACGGTAAGGAGGCTAGCAAACCTATCATTCAAGTTGAAGCTGTAGCTTGCACTCCAAGACATGATGACAAATGTACTAGTGGAAACGGAAGGTTAGGGGGCGGTCCTCTTAAGCTTTGTTTCAAGCCTCTTGACTCGTACTAGTCAATTAGAATATAATATTGAGCTCCACGTTTTCTCATTTATTACTTTCTATTTTGCAGTGTTTTGGGTGCAGTGTCTTCTATTAAGAAAACTGATCTGACCAAGGGTAAGGAGAATAGTAAACCTATCATTCAAGATGAAAATGAAGCTTGCACTCCAAAACCACCCATGAGTTATTCCAAGAAGGGGGGGGGAGGCCTTGCGAGTCATTCCAAGAAGCACCAAACAGCTAAAAAGATAGCGAGCATGGTTAGAAACCCCTCAGCACTGAGGCAAAAAAGTCACTTACAGTCATCCCAAACTAAAAGCATTAAACCAAATAGCGTGAAAAGGTTGGTGTATATACGTTTTTACCGGATGTATGTGTTGATTTATTCTAACAGTCATGACTGATTAGCTACATAACTTAAAACTCTAGAGAAACACATGTGAAGAATGCAACTGGAACTCCCAATTTAGGACAGGAAAATCAGGCGATAAAGCGGCAGAAATTGGACGAAGGAAGATCTAGACAGGTAAAGTTTACTCCTGTACTGTTTTATCAACTTGACTATTATTTCTAGACAACATTTACCCTAATTGTTTTCCTTTATGTCCCCTAAAATTACAGATTCTAAATCCCAAACCCCAAGCATATCCCCACAAGTCAAAACTGGGTCATGTAACTTCTTCAGCTGCTGTGCAAAAGAGGACAGAAAACTTTATGTTAGGGAACCTGCAGCACCATTTGTTTCGACGGCCGAAATGATGAAAAGGTTCCAATCAAGTACCAGAGACTTGTCATTGCCGCATATTTCACATGTAAAGCATCTTATCTTCATCTGGCTCTTTAAGTTCTTTTTCATGTCTCATTTTATTTTTCGTGTTAATGATGAAAGGTTGATGCTGTTTTTATTATTCAGATGAAACCCAAACTCACCTTGACGAGGCCTAAGGAGCCTGAATTTGAAACATCCCAGCGTGTTCGTTCAGTGAGAGTAAAGAGTACTGCTGAGCTTGAAGAAGAGATGATGGCTAAAATTCCCAAGTTTAAGGCTCGACCATTAAACAGAAAGGTAACTTGTAATTTTATACTCTTATTTCTGTTTCATTTGTGGTCTATATCAGTTGGAGTTTATTGGATCTTTGTTGCTGATTATAGATTCTAGAAGCCTCATCATTGCCTGCAATACCAAGAAGTACACCCCAGCCACCGGAATTTCACGTAAGTTACTGTGGATTGGAGGTTGATAAATAGGACATACAATGTTGCAGCGGTGATAATAAGTCTCTTGTGTCTAATTGTTGCAGGAATTCCATTTGGAGACAATGGCAAGGGCCAATCAGAGTGCAGAAACATCCTCAATAGCTTCAACCGAAGTGTCCCATCAGGTATAAGACAGAATCATATTTGCTATTTCCATTCTTTGTTCTTGCTAAGCCAGCTGAGGCATCTCATTGACAATGTTCTCTTTCTGCATTGTATGACAGAATAATCCATGGAAGCCTCGTTTAGGGTTTTTTCTTACGGAACCTAAAACCCCTGTGCTACAAACATCATTGAGGGCTCGTCCACCCAGGGTGAAAAGTTCGTTTGAAATTGAACAGGAAGAACTCGAAAGAATCCCAAAATTCAAGGCCAAGCCTCTGAATAAGAAGGTATATGTCAAGCCTTTCAATTTCGGTTTGAGATATTCATCTTGGAAACATTAGGTACTGAACTGATTTATCTAAATGTTCATTGTTCACAGATATTTGAAAGTAAAGGAGATATGGGGGTGTTCTGTAATGCCAAGAAACATGTGACCAAACCTCGGGAATTCCATTTTGCAACAAATGAAAGGATACCACCACAATCTTCGTCTATTGTTGATCTATTTGATAAAGTAAGTGAAATGGATGTTATCAATACTACTGCATAAGTAGCAGGCAAAACAAACAACTGTACAGCTTCTCTTATACATCTTTTATTTATTTTTCAGCTGTCGTTAAACTCAGAGCCTCACCAAAAACCAGTTCCAAGAAACACAACGCCAAACCCATTCCATCTCCACACAGAGGTATGATAATTCAATTCCAAAAGCATTAGTAATTCAGTGATGCATGCAGTACGCTTGTAACCTGCTTATTGATTTTGTGTTTACGTAATGATCAGGAAAGAGGGGCCGAGAAAGAAAGGAAATTCATTACTGAAGTCTGGCACAAGCAATTGGAAGAAGAAAGAGCGAGGGTTCCCAAAGCTAACCCATATCCTTATACCACTGATTACCCTGTGGTACATATATTTATCAATTTGTTTTTTGAGTTCAATTACATGCAATTGGAACAAAAATAGTGAAATGATGGTCCCTAAATCCTGTTGTTTTAAATGCAGATCCCACCCAAGCCAGAGCCCAAGCAATGTACAAAACCGGAACCTTTCCAGCTGGAGAGTTTAGTGAGGCATGAGGAGGAATTGCAAAGGGAAATGGAAGAAAGACAGCGGAAGGAGAAAGAAGAAGCTCAGATGAGAGTGTTCAAGGCACAGCCAATCTTGAAAGAGTAAGCAAACTACTTTAGTCATGATTTTATTGTTTGTCTTAAAGAGATGAGGGACTGATAACCATTTGTTTTGTAATGCAGGGACCCAATTCCAGTTCCCGAAAAAGAACGCAAGCCTCTCACCCAAGTTCAAGAGTTCAATCTCCATGCTGATCATCGAGCTGTTGAAAGAGCAGAATTTGATCACAAAGTTAGGGAGAAAGAGATGATGTATAAGAGATATAGAGAAGAGAGCGAGGCAGCAAGAATGGTAAGCATCATGCTTTTTTATACGTACTTTTTGCTGCATAGTTTTTGGGAACTTGCATGATTTAAACTGACATATACTCCGAAACGTTGTCATCTGCAGGTGGAAGAAGAGAAGGCACTGAAACAACTCAGAAGGACATTGGTACCCCATGCAAGGCCAGTGCCCAATTTTGACCATCCTTTCCTTCCCCCAAAGTAAGGAATTGTAAATATTCCAAATTGCATTTTAATTGCTGCATTATTTCCATGACTGGTTGATTAAATGGTGTATTTCATGACATAATAGGTGTCCTAAGGAAGCAACAAAACCGAAATCACCATATCTACGTGTGCTCCAACGGAAAGAAAGGCGAAAAATGGTGATCAACTCTGCAGTTTCCAGCGCAGCGGCACAGATGCGATGATTGTTTCCCTTTCCCTATGCTGTGGTTTGTTCAAGAACTCTTGAACCCGTACAAGGGCCATTCGAGTACATGTAGTTATTGCTTTACTAGCAGCATGAATCTACCAATTCTTGTATCAATGTAATCCAATGTGTAATTCTTTCAATGTTACTTGTGTAATTTCTTTTACTGATCAATGTAAAACCTCAAAATTTCTCCACCTCCTTCATCAAAGATTTCTAGAATCAGAATCGGCGGCCGTCCCTTCGTTGTCTACTTCCTTTGATTGCTTCGTGTTTAGTTTTACTAACAACTTTGTTGCTTCAGAAGCTTCTTTGTGTTATTGCTGTTGAGGGTTCGATTTCGGTTTTGATGATCATGTTGTATCTCGGCTTCATTTCGCACGTCCAACCCAAATACGAAATTTTTTAGTCCTTAGGATGCCGGCAAAGTGCCAGCACATTACGTGTCATAATATAAGTGGTTGGATACTTGAAAAAAAAATTCAACCACTTGTATTATGACATTTAGTGTGCGGGAAGTGTTCTCGGCACACTGAAAATGACATAGACTTATGGCCGAATGGATTGAAGAGGAAATGGACGGTTGGAAGACAAAAGAACACAGTGAAAATTTGCAGAATTGGCCTCCGACTTAGATTTAGGCCCATGATACCTTTTCGGAATGCAAACAACACCATGGTTCAAAGTTACTACTTTTCCGTGACATAAGATGATATTTAGCCATCTGAAGCCATTTCAACCTCCAAACCGCAATTTTAGATTCTGTAATAAAAATCGGAGCTTTCAATTTCCGTCCAATAAATGTCATTAATTATGTTTTAATTTTCTAAACTTTTGAGTTGTCGAATGAAGTTGTAAATGACTTATTTAAGCCTTGGATGTTATCATTATAGTCAACTCATCAATTAATCAAATTATCTTTTGGAATTTCTATCAAACTGGTGGATTCACAACTTTGGTCTTGAAGGATTTACGTTTGTAATCCTTTTGCTTCGTGATGCGTCAGAAAAATTTCTCCTCAGGAACGAAACACGTTCATCCTGCTTCACCACCACCATTTCCGTGTTTCTGTTTCGCATTTGGAGCAGTTATCCGAGGAAGAAACAAGAGTCCAGGTTTTCATCAACCTCCGTCAACGTGGAACACAGAATTCTGCTTCACAGGAAGCCCTTAAAACTTGACCGGGCTTCTAAGAACTGTTAAATAAAGGATGGCTTAAAATAAATAACAATGCAAACAAGTGTTTTACGAAATCAAGAATACAACAAACAATGTCTCAACCGGGGATCAATGCATCCCGGTATCTATCTTCGACTGCATTTACAGTAACTCTCATGTCAACAGCGAATACAACAATTTTCTCGTCCGCATTCATTTGGCAGGTTCAAGATTTCATTCCTAACTAATCTCCTTCTGCCTGTATGCGAGAATCTGAAAAGAAGTAGAAGATAGTAATTTAGTACGATCATAAAGAATGATCGCCTGCCAGACAATCGTAATGGTATTTCATGTTGTCAGTTCATAGATGGGACTGCATATTCATACACGAATAGCGTAATCAACAGTCTTCATTCACAGTGTTACAGCATAATACGCGATTCTCTAGCAAGAGAAAACTACTCATACCGTCATCACTAACAAACTAACCCAGTCAAGTAGTACTCCGCACAGTTCAAAACAGTCAATATAATGCAAAAATGGATGTCGGAGTGTTCTTTGTGGTTAAATCTGAGAGGAAAATTCAACCAGCGAATTCATTTTGTTACTTGATCAAACGCGTACTATTGTAAAGTTTGACAAAATCTTGGGGATCTCTGTCATTCGCAACCAGTGCACACATTTTAGCTTGTAGAAAGTGAAAAGTAGAGATCTTAAAAGAGCTTGTCTACTCACCAAATGGTCCCTGCTGGAAGTGCAATTGGCTCTGATCCTTACCAAAGTTTCTTCTTCTTGCAGAATTTGGATTTCATAACTACATGGATCTGTTAGAAATCGCACAGAATCCGGATCATCAATTAAGGACACCAGGTTTAGGTTCAATTTCTTGTCATTGGAACTGGGAGGCCCTTTAACTGCCAATAATTCAACTTCCTCAGCCCTCAAAGGCGTCTGGTGAGATACATACTGTACAGAAAATATGCATGTAAAAATTACACAGGCACCGGAGATATTGTGTAATGTAGAACAAAACCAAAGAAAGAAGAGGGGTAAACTAACATTTCCGCATTGAACAAAAGATCCTACCAAATTTAAGGCTAGTCAGAGTTTCAAATGAATCAGGTCTATATTCTTTATCAATTGTATGCAAACTAATATTCTGGCACAAGATGAGGAAAAGAGGCATGACAAGCAAGTTTTACAGACGACGTTATAACTCTCATCCAAACAAGAATAAGAACAGATTATGCATACTACATACTCAAACGAAGTCTAACAAATGAAGTATACATCTTCAGAAGTTTAAGGTTAGTAATATCAGGAGAATAATCTTACTTCACACAGGTGCTTCACTGACAAACTTGGCCGACAAGAAAGGTGTGGCCGCTGTAAACTTGGTGCACAACTTGTATCCAAAGAAATAAGCATGAGATGAACATCTAACTGCAGAAAAGAATTATTTCATCAAAGCGGATACAAAACGACGAAAACAGAAAGCAATACCGTTTCTAATTTGGTCACTGTGGTGCTCAAAGAAGTATCTCATTCCATCTGCCCCCGAGAAACTAAAACTCAGCAAGAGTACTCCCTGAGTGGCACATGGAATTAATAGACTTACTAACGACCAAACAAATAGTCCAGCAGTGTTTCCCTATACCTCATCATTGTTTTCCTCTGAGCTCTGGAGATAATCAACCAACTTTGATATGCGAGTACTCTCAGAATTCTTGCTGTTGCGACCACTAGCAATGCCACGCCGTGTGTGACTCCGAGCACTACCCCGCCCCCAAACAAGCATTTCAGAGCTCCAGACAACACCAGGTGAAATTCTGCGGTTCTCTCGTTTCCCTTCTACATTATTTTCAGCGCATCCTCCACTTGAATTGGCCAGAGATGAAGTAGGCTGAGAGGATCCAAATCCTGCCCGTCTTCTCAGCTGTCTTGGCCTAAGTTCAGTACACCGGTCATCAGTGGAAGATGAATTGTTGCCCTTGGTATTATTGTCATTGTCATTATCATCCTCAGCGGCTCGAGAGTTCCGTTTCCTTAAAACAGAACTCTGATTATTGGGCCGCGGTCTCATAGGAATTGAATCTGATATATCTTTTCCAGATGTGCGTCTCTTAGTTAGAGCTTCTGATTGTTGTTCAAAAACTTTGGCAATTGATGCTTGGATCTGTATTAAGGCATTAATATGGCACCAGGAACAAAGTTGTCAGTAAGCACCTGTTTAGAGAACCAAAAACCAAAAAACAAACAACAATAAGAAAAATAAGGTAAGGTCATTTCGACTTTGCTCCATTTCCACTTTGCTCCATTTCCTTGTTCCTTGGCTTTCTTTGGGCGAGGGTTTGGCTTAATAGTTTGAAGAGAATTTCTCACTGATGAAACCACATACTATTTACAGGACTTGAGAACATATTTCTTGAGTAGTGGCATGTCCCAAGAAAGATTATACGCGGTACTTCATGATTGAAATTGTCAGCGAAGAAAACACCACCATCCAAATCTTAGGAAGAAATTTTTTAACCAAAAATGAAACTAACCTGCTCGTTTCGAGTCCTCTCCTCCTGATGGAAAGACAATTCCTGAAACCATGCTGCAAATTTAATTCTCCGTTTGCAAAAACATTATTAGACTAGAGTCATCTATATGAAGTCAAAAGTTCATTGTAACGACACTAATTTGAAGTATCCTCTCTATTTTCTGTGTGTCAAAGTGCTACCAAACATAAAAAACAACAGCTAAATTTATACCTCCTCCTCATACTTCTCAATATCCGGATATAAAGCTGCTATTAGGGCATCACACTTTGGATCGTCTCTCAATGAACGCCGACTTGCACAGTGTGCACGACAAGCAGGACACTCGTTGTTCCTGAGATTATATATCAAGCTAAATAAATAAACTTGATTGGTTCTCAACTCGTATTCTAATATATTTTTCATTCTATTAATCAGAAAATCAAATGCCACTGTTACAAAATAATAAAAAGTTAAGAGGGAAAGAGCTCAACATTACATACCCCAATCGCATTGACTTGTCGATACATTCCCTGCAAAACCTGTGTAGGCATCCCATTACAGTCCGTGTTTTCTTCATAATTCCTGTCAAGGAGAAGAAATTTATCAATGTTTGTTTACTAGATTGACACCCCATTATGGATAGCACAGAAGAGGAAATGTAAGCAAGCAACAACAACAACAAAGCTTTTTCCCACTAAGTGGGGTCGGCTATGTGAATCCTAGAACGCCATTGCGCTCGGTTTTGTGTCATGTCCTCCGTTAGATCCAAGTACTCTAAGTCTTTTCTTAGGGTCTCTTTCAAAGTTTTCCTAGGTCTTCCTCTACCCCTTCGGCCCTAAACCTCTGTCCCGTAGTCACATCTTCGAACTGGAGTGTCAGTAGGCCTTCTTTGCACATGTCCAACCCACTCATTCCTAATCTTATCCTTTCTCGTGAGCCCACACCTCCAACGAAGCATCCTCATCTCCGCTACACCCATTTTGTGTACGTGTTGATGCTTCACCGCCCAACATTCTGTGCCATACAGCATCGCCGACCTTATTGTCGTCCTATAAAATTTTTCCTTGAGCTTCAATGGCATACGACGGTCACACAACACGACGGATGCACTCTTCCACTTCATCCATCCCGCTTGTATTCCATATATTCTGTCTTTGATCGGTTTAGGCGAAGACCTTTAGATTCCAACACTTCTCTCCAAAGGTTAAGCTTCGCATTTACCCCTTCCTGAGTTTCATCTATCAACCCTATATCGTCTGCGAAAAGCATACACCAAGGAATAACATCTTGAATATGTCCTGTTAACTCATCCATTACCAATGCAAAAAGGTAAGGACTTAAGGATTGTTGATACACAAAATCAGTGAGGACTTTGGTACAACAGAAAGTATTAAGTTTGTGACATTTGCTAGATTGCTCCGGTCATTAGTGTGGATAAGTATGTAAAAGGATAGAGACAGGAGAGCAAACACAAGATGTACGTGGTTCACCCAGATTGGCTACTTCCACGGAGTAGAGGAGTTCTCATTAATTGTGAAGGGTTTACACAAGTACATAGGTTCAAGCTCTCCTTTAGTGGGTACAAGTGAATGATTTAGTACAAATGGCATTAGGAAATATTTTGGGAGAATGATCTCCTTTTATAGAAGAGAGTTTCTAGCCTTGTTCTGACATTGACACGTGTCATGTTGTGATTGGCTTTCGATGTTGACATGTGTCGCACTATGATTGGCTTCTGATGTCGACACGTGTCGCTCTGTGATTGGCCTCCTGGTTGAAGGGGAAGCCCCTAGGTTGGGGACTTGCAAGATCCAAGCCGCTGAGTAATCACGAAACTTCTAAGTATCGAAGTGTGGTATCGTCTTTACTTGCCTTATCTGTCTCATAGGTAGATGTGGCATCTTCTCTAGAAGTACTCTTCCTCCGTCCAAGGGTGGTATCTTTAACCGGTGGAGATGCACAAGGTAATGTATCAATTTCACTTGAAGCTTACTTGTAGTTTCAGGCTTGGTCAAGCGCGATACAAACCATGTAGTAGGAGTCCCCCAAGTCGCCGAGCTAGGGGATCTACTGAAAGAGGTGACAGACAAGGTAAGCAATCAGAGCTCCAAGCAATCAATCCCAGATCAGAAGTTTGATTTCGAGTTCCGGCTGATTGTTCTCATTCTCCTTATCTTGCAGGCAGCATAAAGGATAAAGAGAAGAAAAGGAGAATAGATGATATGAGATACTTTTGCTTTTGAATAAGTAACTTTCCACAGGCTTATTCTTGAACTAGGCTGGAGGGTTTTCTGGTTACCTCCAGAGTATAAGGCCGACTGAAGAATTTGAGGGTCAAAACAAGTCCATCAAATCTAGAGTACGTTTGACCCTGTTTATATGGGATACTTTTGCTGTTGACAAAGTAGTGGAAGTATCGGCACGTGTTCTGTTACGCTTGTCTCCACATGCTTCCTTGTATCCTTCTCTTTTGCCCTATCTTTTCTTCAAGCAGATGTGATATCTTCTCTGGAAGCATAAGATGTTGAAGATGAGTACTCGAGAGCAATGCTAGGTAAGTAATCAGGTAAGGGGTTCCAGGCAGTCAGTTCCTGACTGGAAGCTTGATTCCAAGTGCTGACTGATTGCTCTATTTCTCCTTGTCTTGCAGGTAAGAACAAGGCCAAAGAAAAAGATAGGGAAAAAGCATGATATAGATACTCTTGCTTTTAACCCTGATGATATGAGATATTCTTGCTCTGGTGTAGCTTGTTTACAGAGGTATTATTGGGGGGAAAGAAAGCTAAGTATTTCGAGAGGCTTCGTTGGGAGTGCCCTCTCAGATATGAGGAAGGGTTGAGCATTTTTGCACGTCTGCCTGTCCGTTGAGGATGAAGGTCGACATATATAGGAGTCTCCCTAACAACAAGTAGTAATGCTATTCTTTTACCCTTATTGGTTATAGCACTGTAGTGGGAGCTGCCAGCTTCACGTGTTTTAACTCTGTAAGAGCACTTTGAAAAAGTGATCTGTGGTATCTGGAAAGCTGATGTTGCGTGTGAAGATTACAGACAAGCTTTATCCAAGGAGATCTGGCTCTCGAAGTTGAGAAAGTGATGCCTCTTTGATTTTCGAACAAGCGATCCTGTCGGGGATCTGGCTCTCGAGATTCAGAGAACGGTGCCTCTTCGATTTTTAAGAAAGTAATCCTGCCGGTGTCTCTTCAATTTTTGAGAAAGTAATCTTGTTGGGAGTCTGGCTTTCGAGATTCGGAGGGTGGTGCCTCTTCGATTTTGGAGCAAGCAATCTTGTTGGGAGTGTTTTCTCGAATGTGAGTAAAGGTTGGGCATTTTTGCTAGTCTACCTTGCCACGGAGCATAGAGGTTGACACACAGGGACTTTCCAATTATCCAGCAGTGGTGCTGTTCCTTTACCCTTGTGGGTAATAATATGGTAGCTAAACCTTCAAAATTTATGTGTCTAAACTTTGTTAGTGCTGTTTCTTTGCTATTCTTTTACCCTTCTTGGTCATAGCGATGTAGTGGGAGCTGCAAGCTTCACGTGTCTAAACTTTGTCAGAGATCTTTGGAAAAGTTATATGTGGTACCCATGAGCTGATGTTATATGTGGAAAGTGGTTGATTGAACAGTAAGATTCACGTGCTTTCTACTTCACCAGAAATATTCGACAAATTGCCTTTAATTTTCGTAAAGCTGAGTGTGCATGTGACAGGTGCTGACAAGGCTGAGAAAGCAAGTGCCTCTTCGATTTCTGAGATTGGCCCTCGTGGTCTCTGAGTAGCCCAGCTTTTGAGAAAGCAAACTCCTCTTCAATTTTTTAGATTGGCCCTCGTGGTCTTTGAGCAGCCCAGCTTTTGAGAAAGCAAACGCCTCTTCGATCTCTGAGATTGGCCCTCGTGGTCTCTGAGCAACCCAGCTTTTAAGAAAGCAAACGCCTCTTCGATTTCTGAGCAGGCGCCTCTTCGATTTCTGAAGCTCCGTCGAATGCAGATTTTTATAGAGGCTGGCATTAAGTTCCAAAGCACACTTGAATCTCCACAAGTAGAAGCTCATTTCTTGCACTTCTAAGATTTTGATTTGTCTAACCTCTTCTCTTTTCAACACCTTTGAAAATGTATGGCCCTTCCGACCGTTGTTTTGACTTGAACCTTGGTGAAGAGGCAGCCGCGCCTTCTCCAGACAACATATGACGCCCATCCTTCTTATCCCCTACTGGTCCTCTTACCGTTGAGGATTTCATGATGAAGAATGATATAACCGCTGCGGTGGTAGCCAGGAACATTTTCACTCCCAAAGATAATAGACTTCTTTCCAAACGGTCTGATGAGTTGGCTGTTAAGGATTCTCTGGCTCTCAATGTTCAGTGTGCAGGTTCTGTGTCAAATATGGCCCAACGCCTATTTGCTCGAACCCGCCAAGTTGAATCATTGGCGGCTGAAGTGATGAGTCTCAAGTAGGAGATTAGAGGGCTCAAGCATGAGAATAAACAGTTGCACAGGCTCGTACATGACTATGCTACAAACATGAAGAGGAAGCTTGACCAGATGAAGGAATCTGATGGTCAGATTTTACTTGATCATTAGAGGTTTGTGGGTGTGATCCAAAGGCATTTATTGCCTTCGTCTTCTGGGGCTATACTGCGTAATAAAGCTCCAAATGATTAGCCTCCGATGCCTCTTCCTTCTAGGGTTCTGCCCAGTACTGAGGCTCTGAGTGATCACCCTCCGGTGCCTTCTCTTTCTGGGGTTCTACCGACTGCTGAGACTTCTCCTAAGCAACCTTTGTGAAGGCCCCCTCTTGTTTGTTTATTTTAACTCATGTATATGTACATATTTATAACTTATCGGAGATATCAATAAATAAGCTTTGCTTCATTTCAACATATTGTGTTAAATACACCAAAGCCTTCTTCACTAAGTTCTTTGAATTTTTCTTTTGTTGAAGCTTGTATGTTGAAGCTTTGTGAGTGAAGCATGTAGGTTGAGGTAGTGTTCCCTTAATTTCTCAAGTGAGGAAAACTTCTCGATTGGAGACTTGAAAAATCCAAGTCATTGAGTGGGGTCGGCTATATGAATCTTAGAACGCCATTGTGCTCATTCCTGTGTCATGTCCTCCGTTAGATCCAAGTACTCTAAGTCTTTTCTTAGAGTCTCTTCCAAAGTTTTCCTAGGTCTTCCTCTACCCCTTTGACCCTGAACCTCTATCCCGTAGTCCCATCTTTTAACCGGAGCGTCAGTAGGCCTTCTTTGCACATGTCCAAACCACTGTAACAGATTTTCTCTTAGCTTTCCTACAATTTCGGCTACTCCTACTTTACCTCAGATATCCTCATTCCTAATCTTATCCTTTCTCGTGTGCCCACACATCCAACAAAGCATCCTCATCTCAGCTACACCCATTTTGTGTACGTGTTTATGCTTCACCGCCCAACATTCTGTGCCATACAGCATCGCCGGCCTTATTACCGTCTTATAAAATTTTCCCTTGAGCTTCAGTGGCATACAACAGTCGCACAACACGCTGGATACACTCTTCCACTTCATCCATCCAGCTTGTA